AAAATGGTTGGGTTAACCGGTTTGGCGTTCCGGTTAAAACTTCCGGTAAATTACCGGATATATAACGTATTTCCGGCAAATTTATTGCGGGCGTTTTAAAAAAAGCCCGGCAAAAAACCAAAAATAAAAAACCAAAAATTAAAAAAAAAAAAAATACGCTTCGAAATAAAAGCTTTGCTAGGATATAAAGGGCTTTTGCGAAAACGAAAATATTTGGTTAAATGGATAGGTTACAACGAATCGAAAAATTTGTAAATTCCAAAAAAGGATATTACAAAAAAAATTATTTAAACGTATAAAGTAAATTTATTAAAAACGAGCTTATAAAATAAAAAAAATACCGAACTTTAACGGGTAAATACCCGGAAAGGACGGGGGTATTACAGGAAAAAAGTAATAAAAGCTAAAAAAATGGTTTAAAAAAATATTTTAACGTGCTAAACCAGCTAATTACCGGGAAAAAACGTAAAAAAACCCGTAAACGGCTTGTAATAACCGTAAAATATTGTACCCCATAAATAAAAAGTTAAATAAAAACGGTATAGTACGGGAAACGCTTTAAATTAATGGTACGATACATTTAAATCCCAAAGGATATGCAAAGTATAGCATATTTTGGAAAGCCCGTAAAAGGCATGCTTAGCGCAATACGCCAAAGCAATTACCGTACTTTAAACGTACGTTATAATAAAAAATACCATTGCTTGCCCAAAAAAAAAATAAAAAAATTTCCAAATGGTACGGCGAACGGGCCTAAGCGTTTAAATAACGGCAAATGCATGTTAACGGTATTTAAACCCATTGGGGGGCGAAAAAAAACATTTTAAAATTATTTATTAAAGCATTAAAACTTAATTAGTAATTAAAGATATTGGAATTTTGCAATGCTGCAAAAGCAACATAACGAAAGGAAATTGTAATTTTAATTGTAATAAATTAATAAAAAAAATTTAAAATTAACCATTTTTTAAAAAAGGAATATTAATAATTAATTAAAAAAATATGTAAAAAAAATCGATTAAATGCCGTATCCAAAAAAACCAAAACTTTCGAAAATTACGTTTTTTTCGCTAGCGCTACAATTATTGCCGCCAAAATTGTTAGCGCCGAAAGCGGCATTTCCCGGCGTTAATACGAACGCCGCACCCTTACGGGAAACCGTACGGTTGTAAGCTTGGGTATTTAAATGCGCCGCAATTGTAGCAAAATTAACGGCAATATTACCAAAAAAAGCAACCATACCTTTTTCAAAACGCTTAAAAAACGTTTTTACTTTATTAAAAAAATTACCGATACTAACCAAAATTTAAGCTTACCTTTTCGTTTAAACGGCAATAGCGTAAAATTGCTAAAAAATGTTTTAAGTAATTTTTAATATTGCAACGTTAGCAATTTTGCGCTAAATGCGTTTTTAAATAACGGTTTAACGTTTGTAACGCGCAAATTGTTCGGCCGATATAGTATAAAAGGATTTAACTTTTTAAATGGTTTTGCAAGCGCAAAATTAAGCTTTAATAAGCTTTTTAAAAAACTTCGGTATTGTTTTGGGCAATCGCTTGTAAACGGTATTTAAAATTTTGTAAAGGTTTTGGGCCATTTTCCAAAACCATTTAAAAAGTTTAACGCAAGCTTTATTGCCAATTACGTTTTTGCAATAAATACATTTAAAAAACCCCGTACAATTATCGGAACATATTAGCATATAAAGGTTAATAGCATAATTTTAATATGTTTAACAACCAAAATAGCGGTTACAAAATACCGTACGCTCCGTATAATTATTTTTAAAAAGGGGCAAATAAATAAGGTCCCAATTATTGTTTTATTGGAAATCGATAACTTTCCGCAACGGGAGCGCGTTGCAAATACCCATATAAAGCAAAAAAAAAGCAATGTTCGTTTTAAAAGCAAATCCATTAAAATCGAAAGCGTTGCGGCGGCGTTCGTTGCGCGCTTTACGCTTTTTTTTAGCAAAGGTTTTTTTGCCGCGGCGGTTAAAGCCCGCCGGGGGGTTACCGGCAAAACGCTTGCGGGAATTTTAAAAAGCTGCAAGCGCAAAAGGGCCCGATGGACCCGTAACATTTAAAAGGTTTACCAAAGGGTTACCGGCAAAGCAATTGTTAAGGATTTAAAAAATTAAAAATTCCGGCGAAACCGAATTCGAATCCAATTAAATTACGATAGCTAAAAAAAATACCAAAGGGTTGCTAAAAAGGGCTAACGGGCCGGTTAGGACCGAAAAACCCAAAACGAACACCCGAAGGAATACCATTTTCCTTACGTAATTAGGTACAAAAAATAACATTTATAACTACCGGTTAAATTTAAATATTTAAAAAGAACGGTTAAATACCAATTACTTACGGTTACGATCGTTAAAATTATTAAAATGGTTATTAAATGCATAAAAAAAAAAAAAAGGGTTCGTAATTTCGAACGGGAAAAAAAGCTTTTTATATGCCGGTACGAACTTATTTTTCCGGATATTATAAAGCTTTACAATTAGTTTTTTTAAGCGTTGCCGGGCATTAAGGCGGTTTAGCGAAATACCGTAAGCTACCGGCTACTTACGGGGTTGCACGCGCGGTATAAATAGCTTGGAATAAACCGTATCGGGAAAGGGCAATATGTTAAAAGTACGGGCAAAACCGCCCGGCAAAAAACGGAAAGCGTTAAATGCACGGGCAAAACCGCCCGGCAAAAAAAAAAAAAAAAGCGCTAGCAATTAGCCGGGCACGGACTTTCCGGGAATATGCCGGCAAGTTACCGGTATCGCGGCCAAAGCATAATAACGAAGCTAAAAAATAAAATAAAGTTTAAATTGCACGAAAGCGTTTGGAACGCGAAAAATTTAAAAAACCAACCCCGGGTACCCGAAAGGGCACGAAAAAAAAGAAAGTTAAAAAAGGAACAATTTTTATTGGCGATAGCACTTTTGGTAAGAAATTTACGAAGGTTTAACAAAGGAAATACCGCATCCGGCCCGTAACCCGGTAACTACCCGCCTCTGCACCGATTAACCCCTAACAGTAAGCGCTTCCCGCTGCTAAAAGCAACAAAGCAAATGCTTTAGCTACAAAAAGTAACGAAGCAAATGCTTTAGCCATTACCGGAAAAAGGTGGGCATAGCAATTAAAACCTTTTTTTTTTTTTTGTTCCGGCTTTTTTTTTTCCTTTTTATTATTACTTTTTTACCAATCCGTAAGTTTTTACGCTTTCGTTTTTATCGTTTAAGCTTTTATTAATACAAAAATTTTTGTAAAAGCAAAAGCAAGCAATTGTAAATGCTTTACGCGGCGGCGTAATATTTTGGAAGCGTTATACAATGCTAATAAATTGGCTGGAAAATGGGTATTACCGGTAATAAAGCAACGCGTACAACCGTTCGAAAGCGCGCTAAGCGCAAAATGCTTAACCGGGTTTAAATTTAAAAAAAATAAATTGTAGCTTTTTGCTTTTTTACCAATTTATTGCTTTTTCGCTAATTTTGCTTTGTACGCGTATAATGCGGATTTGCAAACGGTTATAGCTATTTTAATAGCTAAAATTAAGCAAACGGAAAAAGCATTGTTTAAAAAAAGGAAAAAAGCTTAATAAATTAAAAAGGATAAGCAAAGGAAAAATAGGTTTTTTGCGGAAAAGGATAAATAACGGGATATAAAAAACGCGCGGGAGCAATAAATTGCCCGCAAAAAGGCCTGGAATAACGCTTAAACGATTAAAACGATAAAAGCGCGTGCGTTTGCCAAAAGCGCTAATTGGGTTAAAATTAATCGGGCTTGTTACGCTAAACGGATAAAAGCTTTGCGCCGTTTTTTAATTTAAACCCCGATTAATATTACCGTAACCGTTTTCGAGCTTCCGGTTATTTTTGTTACTTTTTGTACCTTTTGTTTTAATTCCCAACCTAACCCAACCGGTGCTTTTTAAGCTCCGGCTAAACCAAGCAAAAGTTTTGGGCCCGATTAATTTGTTCGTTAAACGATTAAAATCGATTTTAATTTCGATAAATTCGTTAATTGGTTTATTTAAAGAAATAACGATAATAACGATAAGCCCGTCGTTTTCCCCAATATTCGGAAGCGTAAAGCAAGTAAAAAAACGAAAGTAAATAGCTAAATTAATTCGTTTCCAACCGTTTTCGCGGGTTTTATGCTAACTACCCCTTTCCTTTCCGTTTTAATCCTTAAAAAAAATGCTATTTAGCTTTTTTTTTTAACGAAACCGTCGATTTTTTTTTAACGGAAACGTTTTAGCTAACTTTTTCGATAATACCATTTTTTGCGCGGTTCCATGCAATGGGTGCATTAAAAGCTTTTTAATAAAATTCCGGGGCCTTTGCAACAATAAGCTTATAGCGCGCTCCTTTCGGAACGGTTATATTTTACGGTATATTTAATGTGCTTAAAGCAATTACCGTTGCAACCCTTTTTTTTTTGCCCCAATTGCGTATTGCAATTGCTTTATTCCAAAAAAAGCTTTTAAATAGCTTTTGCTTTAAAATTAAAAAGTTTAAAAAAATGGTAAGCCATTTTTTCGAGCTTTACCCGAAACCGGGCAATAAACAAAAAAATAAAGCCAAAAAAAGGAATAAAAAAGCTTCCCGTCGAAATAATCCTGCTTTTTGTAGCCTAACCCCAAAAAAAAGGAAAATGGTAATAATAACGAAAAAAATTAAAAAGGTGGCATTGGAACCGCAATAATTCGGGGCTATTTTTTTTATGGAAATGTTTTTATCCATTAAATAATGGGTAAGGGCTAAAGTTAAAATAAAAAGGAAAAATGGATAAAAAAAAGGTACAGCGCTTTTGGAAATTGCACGCGTTATAATTAAATGCCGTTTTATTATTTAAAACCGGTATGCTTTATGCTTATTAATAAAAAAGAAATTTGCATTGTGCTTTTATGCAAACGTTATACGCTTTTAATATTTATTTCGAAGTTTTTGGCTGCGTGTTAAGCTTGCCGACCCGTTTTTGGAAAAGTTGTGCAACTTTAAAACAGTTTTAAATATTTTAAATTTATAAAGCGGGAGGTTTTTGGTAAGCCCATTTGCTGGTATAAAGGCGGTTTTAAAATATACCACGTTAAACGTTCCTTTTTGGTACTTTTGGCGTAATTACATATTTATAATATTTACGTGCTTTAAAGCTATATTAATGCGGGTGCCTTTTTTAATTACTAATCGGATCGTTTGTATATTGTTACAGTAAAGCTTTTAAGGAATATTAATTTTTAAACGCAGGTTTCGGAAAAGCCTTTATATAACGATAATTTTTTTTCCGAGCTTTATAAGCGCCAAAAGCTTTGCTTTTGTGGTGGACGTTGTAACGGTAGCTTGTTTTTTTGCTTTTTACGCTACGGGCCTTCCGAATAGGAATATAACGTATTTTTTAAACAACCTTTTCGTTTTTTTGTCGTTAACGAAGGAAGCGTTTAAAGCAAAGAGCAAATGGTCGGACTTTAAAACGTTCCTTAGCTTAATGCAATAGGATTTCGACCTTTTTAAATATAAAAGGGTATGGTTTGCCGTTTTTAAATGCTTTTTATTTGGGTTTGTAAAGTATTTGGAAAGTTTTGCGCTTGCAAAAGCAACGTTTAGGCGGATAATAATGGCCGTATAAAGTATAAACCCGATTTTTTTTTGCATGGTTAGGACTTTGGCGGGTATTGCTACCTTTAAATTTTTTTTAAGCGTTTGGCTGGGCAACGGGAAGCGTTTTACGCTTTTGTTCCCGAAATTAAAAGTGTTAACGATTTTGTTAATGTAAAAGTTATAATATAAAGTTATTATTTGTACTTTTTTATCCCTTACGATTTAAACTTTAAGGAAAATTTTAAATGGTTTTTTTTTATTTTGTACTTTTTTTTAAAACCGTCCAATATTTTTATTGCCATTTTTAAATGCGTAGCACGGTTAAGGATAATTATGTCGTAAACGTATAGGAAAAAAAAAACTTTACGTTTTGTATTTATAAATAAATAAAGCTTTTCCGTTAACGGGGTAAGCCTTAACTTTTTAAAGGTTTTTTCGAAGGCCAAATATTACAATTTCGGTAAATTCCGTAGCTTGTACAAAGCTTTTTTAAACCGGGCTACAAACCTTTTTCGGTAATACCCAAAAAGGAATTTTACATAAACGGGTATATGGTTATCGCTAATTTTTGCGTAAAAAAAAGCTTTATTAACGTTAATTTAATGCGTTTCGAAATCGAAATAAATTATAATTGCTATTATAATTTTAAAGCTTTTGGTTGCAAACGTAATAGCGTAAATTTTTTTTAAACCGTTGGGTTATTAATTACTTTTAATTACCGCGCGGAATTTATAATTCGTAACGTAACCGTTTTTGTTAAATTTGTAAATAAATACCCAAATAATGTTAATGGTTTTGTTACCAAATAAATTTTTCGGAATTTTTTTTAAATTTTTTTTTTAATAGCTTATTAATTTTCCCAAAAGCAAATTGTTTAAATTTTTTTTTATACGGGTGCGTATTAAGCTTTTATTAAAATTTCGGAATTTGTTATAATTCGTTTTGGTGCAACCGTTTGTTTTTTTGAGGGTTATTGCGCTTTAATGTTTTTATTACGGCAATTGCAATTATTTTGTAAATCGGGCGATAGCCGAAATTACTTTTTTTAATTGCCGTTTATTAATTAAACAAATACGTATCGAAAAAAGCTTATTAATTTTCGTTTATTAAATTTATTTTAAAAGTAGCGTTTTTAATTTCCGGTTTGAAAGCGTTAAACGTTATTGCTAAACCGTAATAAAAAATGGCGTTGTTAAAGTTATTGCGTTGCTTGCTTTTTTTTTTTTTTTTTCCTTTTTTTTTTTTTTGCGGTCGCACGCGTTGCGGCGCGGATTGCTTTAAACGTAATTATTAGCGAATCCGGTAAAAGCGCGTTAAAAAAAAAAGCTTTGGGCAAAAGCGAAAGGCCCGTTTTTTTACGGGGTTAGCCTTTGCCCCTTTTAACCGGAGGAAAAGGGAAAGGCGGCGTTTTTTGCTTGTTTGGGTTTGTTTCGAACAAACCTTTAAAAGCTTTAAACGCTTTTGGTATTGCGATTGGGGGCGTTGCAAAGGTACCGCTTGTGGTTGCGATTAGTATATTCGGTCCTGGGGTAAGCAAGGACCGGTTTGTTGCTTTATAAGGTAAAGTTAGCTTTAACGGTTTTAAAGGTTGTTTTTTGGGTTCGTTGTTACTTTTACCCTTTACCGGCGGGAAGCTATTGCTTTTTCCGGGCCGTATAAAGCCGTAATACGAATTGCCCATACGTGGGGAGCCCGTATTACGCATTTGCTTTGCTTTATGGCCATTTTTTAAAGCATTTGAAATTAGGAATTTGTGCGCGTTTGGATCCGGCCCGTTGGCCGAATCCTTTGCGGCTTTAGCTTTTGTGGTTACGATAAAACCTGGCTTTTTTACCCCCAATTTTTAACTTTAATGCTTGGTAGCGGAAATGGGTATTTAAGGCTTTTCCGGTTGGAAAAGCTTTAGCGCATTAGCAACTTTTTTTCGGGTTGCAAGCGGGTTTTTCGTTTCGTTGTATTTAACCAACAAGTTGTAAGTAATTACGTTAATCGGGTCCTTTTTTTGCTTGCTTTTAAAAAAGCTTTTTTTATTAAATTTAACGTTTTTTATAATTATTACTTTTTTTTTAACGGGATTTAAATCCGGTAAATGTTGGAAGTTTGGTAATTTATTAAATATTTAACCCCGGCACAAAGGTTAATTTTAAAATGCTTAAAATCCGCGTTGTGGGACCTTTTTACGTTTAAAGGATAAGTTTTACACCCGTAAGCGTAAATGCCGTTCCAATCCGGTTTTAAATTAGCTATTAAACCCGTAAAAAGTTTTAAAGCGTAATGCCGGAACCACCCCCAAAATTAATTTAAAAGGATATCGTTAAAAGCGCGCATGCTTTTCGACGGTAAAAAATTTATATTTTTTAGCTAAACGGTAGCGTAAACCGTTTTTGGTTATAAATGTTTAAAAAGTTTTGCGCTTTTGCGCATGCGTATCCTTTTCGTAATAACGTTTTGTCCCGTGCGCTTAATTATCCCGTTAGGTTTGTAAATGTATAACGGTAAGGTTTCGATAACGATGCTTTTAGCTTAAGCCCATTTTTTGTATTCCGAAAACCTTTTTATAAATATAATGGATTTTTTTTGGTTATATTTAAAGGTAACAATAAACAATTTGTATTGTTTTTTTACTTACGCTTTCCATTCCTTTAAAATTTTAGTAACCGTTGGTTCCTTTTTGTTTAAAGTATAAAGTTCCAAATTTTGCGTTATATTTATTATTATAGCAAACCCATTTATCCTTATTTATTTAAATATTAATATTAATTAA